ATATAAATTGTGTACATTTATTTTCAAAAAGAAAAGGAGTACTTGTGGCACCTTAGAGACTAAACAATTTATGAAGTGAGCTGTAGCTCACGAAAGCTTATGCTCAAATAAATTGGTTAGTCTCTAAGGTGCCACAAGTACTCCTTTTCTTTTTACATTTATTTTGGAGTTCTTATCTCTTACTGATATTCACCTCTTTCCCTCACTCTGGCCTCCACTTTTTCACCACAATTCTCCGCCATAGCTCTACTTCTCTCAAGTAGGTGTCTCGTTTATGGAAATTTGCCACTTCATATCCTCTTGCTCTTTGCCGGGCTCTCTGTCTCATTCTCAGTCTCCCTCACATCTCTGGCTCTTTATTCTAGTCTCATTGCCCAGCCAGCCCTACTTCTCCTCACACACAACAGCTCTTCATCAGATCTGTCTCCTCTTCCCCTCACCTCCTCTGCCTGCCCCCTCAGGTTCTAAGCTCCAGTTTCCTTGCACAACCAGTCCAGGTCTCCCAGGAGCTCATCATCCAATCTCCATTTCTGCCTCTGGCTTCCAGTCTCCTTACCCAGCTGGTCCCAGTCTCCCTCATGTGCCAACTTCCAGTCCCAATTTCCTTCTCCCCCCTGCTACCTTCCAGTACAAGTTTCATAGAATCATAGAATATCAGGGTTGGAAGGGACCCCAGAAGGTCCTCTAGTCCAACCCCCTGCTCGAAGCAGGACCAATTCCCAGTTAAATCATCCCAGCCAGGGCTTTGTCAAGCCTGACCTTAAAAACCTCTAAGGAAGGAGATTCTACCACCTCCCTAGGTAACGCATTCCAGTGTTTCACCACCCTCATAGTGAAAAAGTTTTTCCTAATATCCAATCTAAACCTCCCCCACTGCAACTTGAGACCATTTCTCCTCGTTCTGTCATCTGCTACCATTGATAACAGTCTAGAGCCATCCTCTTTGGAACCCCATTTCAGGTAGTTGAAAGCAGCTATCAAATCCCCCCTCATTCTTCTCTTCTGCAGACTAAACAATCCCAGCTCCCTCAGCCTCTCCTCATAACTCATGTGTTCTAGACCCCTAATCATTTTTGTTGCCCTTCGCTGGACTCTCTCCAATTTATCCACATCCTTCTTGTAGTGTGGGGCCCAAAACTGGACACAGTACTCCAGTTGAGGCCTCACCAATGTCGAATAGAGGGGAACGATCACGTCCCTCGATCTGCTCGCTATGCCCCTACTTATACATCCCAAAATGCCATTGGCCTTCTTGGCAACAAGGGCACACTGCTGACTCATATCCAGCTTCTCATCCACTGTCACCCCTAGGTCCTTTTCCGCAGAACTGCTGCCTAGCCATTCGGCCCCTAGTCTGTAGCGGTGCATTGGATTCTTCTGTCCTAAGTGCAGGACCCTGCACTTATCCTTATTGAACCTCATCAGATTTCTTTTGGCCCAATCCTCCAATTTGTCTAGGTCCTTCTGTATCCTATCCCTCCCCTCCAGCGTATCTACCACTCCTCCCAGTTTAGTATCATCCGCAAATTTGCTGAGAGTGCAATCTACACCATCCTCCAGATCATTTATGAAGATATTGAACAAAACCGGCCCCAGGACCGACCCCTGGGGCACTCCACTTGACACCGGCTGCCAACTAGACATAGACAAGTTTCTGACCCGCCTCCTCCCCCTCTTTGTTCTTGTTTACTCTGCCACCTTCCACTTCAGTAGCTCTTGTTCCCTCTGCATTTGAATCAGAAAAATTCCTCCCTCAGACTGCCTGGCCCCAGCAGAGGGACCACTGAGAGCTCATGACAGAGAGTCTCCCTCCTCTCAGTTCAGGTTCCTTGATTGGCGTTGGTCACAGCATCCCAGAGCTTTAATTTCAAGAAAAGTCCTGTTCAGCCCTGGGCTCAGTGTAGGTGGAATCTTCAGGGAGTATACCTGCGAAAAGGTAAGCAATTTCTACTGAGCATGTGCAAACTGCAATTTTTCAGATGCTTATAACTTGGTCAAATTTGGAGTGGATTTTCATGGAGATGGCAAAAGACACATTCCTGCCACAAAGACAACTGCTGTGACAAATTTGAAGCCCCTGCTCCAAAGAAAGATACTATAGCTTTTCAAGGAGAAAGTCTTCAGAATTTTTTAACATGGGTAAAATGTGTCTTGTCCCAAGCCTCACTGGCAGAAGCTGAACCATTTTATCTGAAATAAAAAACAAAACAAAACAATACTAGCCTGAGGCAGACACCCAGTATGGAAAATTTCAGTCCAAATGGTTAAAGTTGGGCAAAGTTGTAAGCAACTAAAAATAGGGTCTTATAATGGGAATTCTTAGGCAACCTTAATAATAGGCAAGGCTAATAGCCTTGTGTATAATACTTTTTAGGTCAGAGAATGGGGTTTTTGTATTTTTTTTTTAATTTGAAGATATACTTTGTCATTGGCTGACCCCTTTTTATGAACACAATTAATGTATTAATCCATTTTGTTTGACTGATTGCATAATGAGATGCAGTGCATGTGCTCTTCTGGTGTATAATAAAACATGTATTATTTCCATATTTAGATATAGGGCTATTTTCCCAATAATATGCCTTGTAATTTCCTAATCAGAAAGGTTACATAAAATAATTTTAGCAATTGGGGGTTTCTAATTAACTGATAATAATGCAAAGCTGTAGCATAGCCAGCTTAAGCAAACTCACTAGATTCTTGGATGAAAATAGTGCTCTGTGCTTTTTTCTTTTTTAATTAAGTGAATGTAGCTCTTGTGCAAGGTGTTGGCTTGGGAGAACTAGAGACAAAAGTCTGCGATTTATCTCCAGTACAAGAATAGTACAGGTGATGTCAGTGCGAGCTTTCCCATGCTGTGCTGCCAACTTGTTTCAAACATGTTTTAGAAGATGGTCCCACTTATCACACCATGTTCCAGTACTAGGGTATGTCTATGCTTAAAATGCTCCAGCAGCACAGCTGCAGCGCTTCAGCTGTGCCACAGGAGCACTTCAATTGTAGACACTCACTAAAGTGACGAGAGAGGTTCTCCCATCACTGTAGTTAATCCATCTTCCTGTGAGGTGATAGCTAGATTGACAGAAGAATTCATACATTGACCTATTGTTGTCTACACCAGAGATTAGGCTGGCATAGCTATGTCTCTTAAGGGTGTTCACCAGCCGCGAGGCTACAAGGAACAAAGGCGAGAAAGGGCTTGACTACGTGGGGAAACTAAAGGCTGTTCTATACTAGAAAATTACATCAACCCAGCTATGTTGCTCAAGGGTGTGGAAAATCCACAACCGAGTGACATTGTTAAACCAACCTAAGTCCCCATTGTGGCTCACAAAAGGCATCCCTACGTCACAGGGGTGTTGTGAGGAGAAATACATTAAAGATTGTTAAGCGTTTTGAGAGCCACTGATAAAAAGTGCTATGTAAGAGACAGGTATTATTTTGAGGATATTATTATCTATCATTTGTGCTTACAATCAAGGGTACCAAATAGGGGCTCTTTTGAAAATCTAGCCATATAGCTATTTCTGAAAATACTGTCACCTGAAATAGTTTCATACTGCTTGTTAGAGTTGCTCTGTGAAGCATGTCTCTGTTCTCACAGACAGAGCAGATTGACATTTAATGTAGAGTTCAGTGCTGAAAATTGTTTTCCAAGACTTTCAAATCATCCGTGTAAAAGCCCTTTTTGAAAAAGGTTACACTGTTTTACAGCAATATGTCAGCTCGCTCTCCTTATAGTTTGGTATCTTGGAGTAGATCTCTACACCCTATTCCAGACTCTAGTAGGGACACTCTTGTGTCACTCCCCTGGTGCACCAGGCAGGATTCTGTCTAACGCTTTTATCAGCAGGTTTCTGGGAATAACAACTAATGTAGTATCCCTCCACATTGCCTTTAATTGGCTGTCACTTTCTACCGAGCTGGTCGGGTGAGAGCAACACTATAGCTGGCAGATTTTATAACTTGATCTATCTATATCCACCTTCTGACTTTTGCACTGATGCAGGATTAGCCAAATTCTAGTTCAAAGTGCAGTGTACTGTGTTTGTACCAAAGAATGACAATTACAGCTGAATGCACTATATTCATGTCTGATTCTTAAATGTGAATAATGAAGTCTAACTTGGGTTTTGGGTTTTTTTTTAGAAGGATAGTTTCTCTTTTTGTCACAGAATAATTAAAGTTTCACTCTGGTTATACAAAACTGCTTTTAATTATATGAAGTGGTATTACTGATGTACTGATTATATTTAACACTGTACAATAAAACTATTAAAATAGAAGTGCGAGCTTCATTATACATTTGGGAGGCTACACAGGTGTAATGTCCCCACAGGTTTCATGCTATCCTGTATATTTTCAATATAGATTTTCATCTGCTTTTATTTTACCCTAGAATCCAGTAATTAACTTCAAAATGCAAATTCCATGCCCCATTTTACGTGTCAGCTGTCAAACAGCAAAATATCTGAGGAGATATTAGGGCAGGAATTTTGATTTTCTTTCAATATCTTATTTGTGATAATGAACTAGAATCACTCAAGTGGCTTGGGACAGACTTAATTCTTGTCTTACCTCTGTTTCATCCTGAGGATCTCCGCTACTTCCATATGCTAGAATTCTGTGGAGTAGGGATTTGAACTCTAAACCACCAGAGTGTAAGACATGAAATAAGAATCAGTAAATTTTCTGAGGCATGTCACTGGTTAAGTGACAAAAAAAATTCTGATTGTCACTAAAATAGAAAAGTCAAAGGAACATTTGAACCTGTCAGTTCCACTCATTCCTGTTATCGCTTTAGGGGATATCATACAACTTGACACCAACATTTAAGCTTTGAAAATTACGAGCTCATCTATTTCAAATGGGATGGCACACGTTCCCAAGCCTTTGCCATTACTTATGATGGGAGACAGGATGATCACTTTTTTGTTCAGATATTGATATTGCATAAGCTGCTTCTTCTTCTTCTTCTCCTTTTTTTTTTCCTGTTTCAGAATGAAGAACAAATTTTGGTATTTTGAATTTGGCACTTCAGAAACTTTCTCGGCCACCTGCAAGAAGCTGCACGAATCTGTAGAAATAGAAGTAAGGAACTAATTAGTGCATGTTACGTTATAAAATGTTTCTGGTTTGACTCGAATGCAGGGGGTGGTGGGGTGGGGAGGGCAGTGCAGAGTGCCCAGATGCAATAAGACAAAGGAATGCACAAGGTTTTGACCTCAGATCCCAAAATATTATTTTTGTCAAGTCTATTTGTGGTGTGGGACAAAGTTCAGTTTGATGATTAGTGAGGTCTTAATACAGTAGAAGAGGGCAAGAGGGGAACTATAACATTAGAAATCAATAGGGAAGTTACTGTCTCTGGGTCAGATAGAAAAATGAAAGATTGTCAGAGGGAGGGAGAATTGCTGCAGCATTAAAATAAAAAATCTTATTATTTCTAGGTCCCAAGTTTTTGTAACCTTTAAAACTCAATTCACTAAAATTGTACTTGCTTTCCTGGATAAAGGTTAAAGAATACATTTTTTTTTAATCATTCCCCTTCATTAACTACTTTTTCCTCTTTGCACAAGGGGCCATCTTACCATTATACATCCAAGGTTATCTGAAAAGGCACCCTTGATAGATGTGGACAGAATAGGCATTAAAAATGTTAGATCAGGGAGTTTCGATAGTCTATGGTGTAAGTGACTGATGGGGGCTGTTAGTCACATTACAAAAGTAAGGTGAAAAAATATAATATAATTAGAAATATAAACCTGAGGATGTAAGTTATAATAATTCAAACATTCCTCAAGAGGATTGAGCCCCTTTTCTATTCTGATAATAATGGCAAAGGGCCCAGACTCGCTTTTTGCGAAGTCAATGAGATGTTTTGCCACTGATGGTAGGATGTGTGGGCCCAAAATGTGTAATGAAAGGTTATTAGGGCCTGATCCAAAGCCTGCTGAAGTGAATTGAAAGACTCCCATTGACTTGATTTGAATGGGCTTTGAATACTAGGACATTATCTACACCTAAAACTTAGGTCAACCTAGCTATGGTGCTCATGGGTGTGAAATTTCATACCGCTGAGACACATAGTTAAGCTGATCTCAGCCCTGGTATAGATACCACTAGGTTGACAGAATAATATTTCTGTTGATCTAGTTACCACCTCTTGGTAAATTTATTACAGTGATGGTAAAGTCCTTTCCATCACTGTAGCAAATGTCTACAGGACACCACCAAAGATTAAGACTGAATTTCTGAGGCTTACGAGGCCTGGGACTTGCTTAGTTTGTTGTTAGGTTGAAAGGCAGATTTTTTGCTTGTGAAAGTTTTTTTGCTTCAGAAAAATAAATTGGATGTTACTGCCAAATTGCCATTTCTCCTGAAATTAGGAGTATTTATATCTTGCTCTTGAAGCGGATATTTTATACCTAATTTTGATTTTTAAGGAAGTGCTTCATATTCAGTTCTAAATACAATTAACTTGAGAAACATTTTCCTAAATATTTGGGGAACTGACTGGCAGGTTTGATTTTTAAATGTGGGTCTTGGTATCTAAATCTCAGATATACTGTAATTTAGCAGAATATAAAGCACAGGAGCAGGTTTTTGTCCAATGAACAACTTTCCACCCAGCCATTACATGAGCTCTGTGCCTAGTAAGAGTTGATCTCCTTAAACACAGAAGCTATATAGGTGATCATATATTTTTACATCCCACATATTCAAAGTTAAATGAATTTCCATCCAGTCTCAAAATGGTGGTAAATTGGAGTCTTTAAATTATTATTATTAAATTCAAGACATTAGAGTTTCATTATATTGTGTGTGCTTGTTTTTATTCACTTACTGCATGATGGTTAATATCATTAATGCTCAAGAGAGGTACCTGAGCAAATCAAATAGAAATGGACTCCTTAAAATTGGGTAGTGGGAATAAATTATGCACAGCTATTACCTTGAAAAATAGGTTTCTCTTACACTAATAATACCTAACCGTGTATTTGTATTTTCTTCTGTTTTGTTCTTATATTATAAGCATTTATGTTACAATGTGTTTTCATCTGGTTTGTTACCTGCTGCCCTTTGCTCAAGGATCTCACTGCAAATGAGACCTTGATGAATAATACCACATTTCACTTTGTGAATAAAACACACAAAGAGTGCATTTGCTACAGAGCCAAATGTTGCGTGAACAAAGCCCACGAAGATTAAGGATGTGTATTTCTGAGCTGGGAGAATGTAATCAGGCATTTTACAGGCAAATATTAGTTCATCCTTATATTTGGTTTCTAACTTAATTAAGCCTGGCCTTCCTAATTTGCACTCTGATTTCTTAAGTCCTGTACTTTCTTTTCTGTACAAGATGAATAGTACATTTTAAACCTCAAATTTGTACATGAAAATCCATGTGAAGGTGACAGGAAAAGTAAGTAGTTCAGGAAAACAGCACATGTTCAAGCGCTGTCCTGAATAGGAATACTTTTCTGAATCGGGGCCCCAAAAGACAAGTCTTCTAAATGAGAAGGAAAGCAATTTTATGGAGGAAAATGGCAATCTGTAAAATTAGTTTTCTTTCCTTTGTAATTTGAGTCGTTACCAAAATTAGACTTAAACCTTTATAGTGTGTCCTGGGCTATCAGCTTCTCCTCCATAAATACCTTTTTATATAAAAATGAGCAAGATTAAGTGACAGTATGGTGTGGCACAGTATTGCACTTATTCAGATTCTATAGCCTTCATTCTCAGTTCTTTTCAGTAAACTAAATCACACTTGATAGCTTCACTCTAAGACAGATCTAAAATGTTCCAGGCTAATGAATGTAATAGAAAAGCTAACACAGAAAATTGGACTGCATCCAAGAATGGACCCAAAAGGAACCAGAAAAAAACTACTATTTTCTAGTTGATCTAGACAAGATATACATCTAAAAAGCATGCTGTTATATTAACAATACCTTTACATTATATGAAACAGAAAAAATAGGAACAGAATACAAATGTGATCTGTTACTTTAGAATATGAATGTATTAGGGCAACAAAAAGCTACCTATAGAGCAAACTCCTTCTCTGTGTATGAACAAAAGAAATCCTTCTTTACTAATTCCAAAAGTAACTCATCACAGTGGGATTCTGAGGCCTAGTCAAATAATTGTCTTCGTGTACTACCTGCTGTGTTCAATATTGAGTGAAAATGGAAGTGAGGCCCCTGCACCATCTTATTTTACAATTCTTCTTTTATTTAAATAATTCCAGTCGGTTTGGGGGACGCCAGACCTTTATAAATTAACAGCAGGGAAATACCAAAGGTGTCAGATTGCATATTTATCATCTTTTTCGTGTAATACTTAAATATGTATTAAGAAGTGACTGACATAAATTAGGCAGATTTCAGAAGCCACAGGCCGTGGCTTGTAGAGGACCCCCTTCTGCTTGACATTTCATCCTTGTCAAAGATCAAATTATTTTAATTTAGGCTGCAAATTATAAGGAATGAAGACTTCTTTGTGGGAATTCCCTGTGGTAATCTGACTTTTGTTGTTACTGCTGCTTGTCAGTGTGCAAAAGATATAATATGCATGCAAATAAGGTTAAAAAATATGTACTATCTAATTATCCAGCCAGTACATTCCACTTGAAGACAGTGGGAGGCCTGACACACAGTATGTGTTTGATTCATTGAGGCCTGCAGGGTATTTACACAAGATTACTTTTAATTATGAAATTAATATCTGTTTATCTAGAATGTGTAGCAGTAAGTAAGTATACACATGAGCAGAATTTTTTAGTAAAATAAATCTTTATCTTTAATACATATAAAATATAGAAAAACCATGAGTTTTCTTCCAAAATGACACTGAAGACACTCATCACCTTTTTTTGAAAGTCAATAAAAATGTGCCATTTCTGTTATACTTGTTTCCACAACTGCCAAGTCATTTCAAGACGTCATTGCATCTTACCAGCTTCCCTCACTGAATATTTTACGTGGCTTTAAACTTTTTAATTTTGTGTGAGAAAATATAGAAAGGAAGCCTTTCTATTGTGATTGCTCTTGTCTCTTCTCTAGATTTGTAATATTGTTAAAAGCATTTGAAAGAGACAGAGGGGTATACGCTAAGTATGGTTTGGTTTTGTGCTTTGGGTGAGTTACAGGATAAGTGAACAATTGGGGCAGGGATGATCATAATTATATGTAGCGGGTTCTTTTTCTTGGTAAAAGCCTTAATAAAGGCTTAATGTTAAGCAGAGAAAGAAAATGACAGTGGCCTGTAGAGCAGTGAGCTACCAGATGTCAATGAACTCTCACTGAACCATATATTTTTTTTCTAGATTTCTTCCTGGTAATTATATATTGGCATTCCAAATTCAGGCCATAATCCTGCATTTAAAATGTAGAAGTGGGTCCCTGTAGCTATGCAGAACCCCACTGAAAGGGCTTGATGAAAGTGCAGGCATCCCCTAGCATACTGTAAATTACAGAACCAGGACCTAACATATTCATCCAATATATAATAAAGCATGTGGTTATGCCAGGATGTGTTGTGAGGCATGAGGCTAGTGTGCAAATAACTTCAGCCAATATGGGAATGTGGATCCTGGGGACTTTGGATGACTCAATGAATTAATAAATGGATATGAAGCCTTTGCCCTGGTAATGGGTGCAAATATAATCCAAGTTGTAGTAACCAAAAGTTGGTTGTTTTCTATCCGATTGCTGTTCAGTTCCTTGCTGTAGATGGAATGGGTTAGTGGTCTCGGTCTGGTTCCTAAGGGAATATGTGTCTGTATTGGAAAACCAGCACTACATTGTATGTGTATTGGAAGTCTCGGCTGAGAGGCCAAGGACTGAATGAGCACAGAAACTAAATTATCTTCACACCCCTCAATGTACCTCATCTTTAGGAAATGTAAATAGGACAGTGTGTAGTGAATCCTGTTCTAAATAGGTTTCCTGTTCTCTGGATAGGGGGAGTTTTCTGTTTAGGACTTTCCATCTGGCATCTGTCATGAGCACTAACTTTCCTAAAGAGATAGCAAAGAAGCCAAAGTGGGACTCCTTATATCACTTTCAAGGAAAGCTATTATATTATTGAAGAAACTGATTTTTAAAGCAGAATAGAAGTTTCCTTATGGCTCTACTGGTAGCACTTTGCTCCTGGCCAAGAAGATCTTTGGTTTATCTCCAACATGGGCTCATTCCCAATGATTTGACTGCTGTATAGTGCTAAGCAGGTGTGTGCTATTCGTCTGTCAGATGTGGTGATAAATTTAAGTCCTCTAGAACAGCGGTTCTCAAACTTTAGCAACCCAAAGACCCCCATTTTGATTTTAAAAATTTGGGGACCCCCAAGTCTTCCCCCACTCAGCCCCAGGCCCTCACCCCACCCCACTTTCTGAAGGCCTTACCCCACCTCTTCCCACTCCACCCCTGTCCCTCCTCTTCCCTGCCTCTTTCCACCCCATCCCAGCTACTCCCCTTCCCTCCCAGCACTTCCTGCATGCTGCTGAACAGCTGTTCCCTGGCATGCAGAAGGCGCTGGGACGGATGGGGAGGAGGTGAGGGAGGAAAAGGGAAGAGTTGATCAGGTGGGCCCGCAGACCCCAGTTTCAGAAACATTGCTCTAAAGGTTAATTTAAATTTTAAAAGTAAATTAATGTTCAGAAAAGGGTTTTGATTACCAGCAGTGGAGGTGTCAGAAACTCCATGAAGTCTACGCAGGGACTTCCACTGTTGCTACTGATCTTACATGGAAAGTGCTCAGATACTATGGTGCTGGGCAGCAGTATAAAACCCTAAAATAGAAAAAGTGTTTCTCTGGCACAGACAGATTATTGTGAAGGTAGTTTTTGCCATATGGATATTTGTCCAATAAGAGCTGTAGTGAGATCATGAACACATTTCACATCAGTCAATGCATAACCATCAGATAACAACCTTTCATTGCCAAATAGTTCCATGTTTAAGCAAGCAACCTGGGGATGAATAGTAATCATATCCACATTCCGCCTTCTGAACCAGGACCTTGTACTCTTCTTCCCAGCTCATAGTTCCTTTCCAGGTATGATATATATATTTTAGTATTAAACAGGAGTATGTATTTGACAGTAGGAGGAATGATGAAGGAAAAAAAACTGGTAGGTAGAACATTCTGATTTCTCTTTCTGTCTTACTGCTTTCTCTCTTTATTTCTTTGTTTCCTTTGCTAATCAGTGTGATGGAATTCAGCTAGACTTAATCAATATTTCTCTGGAAGGAATTGCCATTCTGAACATTCCAAGCATGCACGGTGGATCAAATCTTTGGGGAGAGACGAAGAAAAGACGTAGCCATCGTCGAACTGAAAAGAAGAGGTTGGATAAAAGAACCACTGTCACAGATGCTAAGGAATTGAAGGTTGCATGTCAAGGTAATCTTCAGATTAAAATGAGTAGCTGGTTCTAGACAGTCAAATAACTTATAAAACTATAATGCTATATTCCTCCTTATCGAAACTAAGTGTGGCTTAAAAAAACGAAACACACACACAAACACAAAATGCTGCAGCAGTGCACTGGCATAAACACATCTACACTGATAATTGCGATCTGTGTGCAAACCTAGATAGGACGTCACATGTGAAGCAGACTAAACAACAACATGGAGCACTGCTGTTCTATTCTGTAGAAAAAGTGCTTAATGCTACAGAAGCCAGATAAAAGCTACTCATGAATAACACTCTACATACAATTTGGTTTCAGGGACAGACATGCCCCTATTCTGACAGAATTTGTCCTCCATAGCCATGGAGCTTGTCTCATCATGGTAATAATGAGGATCTGCTACCATACCTGGATCCTATCTGCACTCCCTGATTATATACACTGCAGTTTGCCTGCCAGCTTTCCCTTCTATTTAGTCATTACTCATTTTTATAGAGATCTCAGGATTCAGTCCTAAGATTTCATTATTAAAAGTTATTTCTGACAATCGTAGTAAATAAGTGTCCATTTTACTTGGTGGGAGCTGGACGGCATTCATTGTAACACAACATTAAATATTACAAGTTAAGAAGTTTAAATCAGTTTTTCTCCAATTTTTGCATTTTGTGGACCACTTTCTAAAAGAGAACTTCTTATGAACCTACCTCCCCACACAACCCTCCAACATTTTGGTCTAAAATATTATTTGGTACAGACCACATGGAAGGGTTCTACAGACCACAGTATGATACTATTGGCCTACAGTTATCTATGTACTCCTTCTTTTGCTCTCTTTGTATTTTTCATTTTCAAAGAGAAAGATCCCTTACCCCAATGGGTTAAAACATTCAAAAGGTGTATTTCTCGGTAAGCTTGATAAAACTCAGGATTTTTACATTCTGATTTTATTTCAATCCTTTTACTTTTGCTGCTTCTCTAAAGATTCTAAATATCTGTTTTTTTTCCCAGATCTGGTACTCAGACATCAAACTTTTTTTAAGTCCTTGTTTGTTCATGACACTAGTATGGGATATATTGTAGCTTTAAACCACTACCTGACTGGGATGAGAAGGCAATGTGTATTGGCAGAAGTTTACTGAGGCATTGTCTTTGAAGAAGGCACAAGGACTCTGGGATTGCTGGGGGACTGGCCACAACAATGGTATCTCCTGTGCCCATTAGCAGGGTGCAGCATGTTTCCTTCACCGTGTACTCATTTTAGCGCTGCTCTGATAGTCCAGGTGGAGCTGGGACAGCTCCATGGTGCTACCACACCTTCCTACCAACTACAGAGTTTCTACTGCTGCTGTCAATCCTAGAATCCCTTGTTTCTTGAACACCAAGAGAAAAAAAATCACAATTGTGTGCTTGGTCCACCAAGCAACATAAGTTTCACCAACAAAAGTGCTGGTGTGGACAGTGCTGTGCCAGCAGGAGAGGCTCACCTGCCAACATAGCTAACACCATTTGTTGGGTGTGGTTTAATTATGACGGCAGCAGAGCCGTCTTGCCAGCAAAAAGAGGCTACACAGGAGACCTTACAGCGGCGCAGCTGTAAGGTCCAACTGTGCCACTTTAAGGTCCAACCGTAGTGTAGGCATAACCTAACAAACAAAGGGAATTCATATCAAGGGCAGCAATTCACATGCCTTTCAAATTGGTATGGGTGAAAACTGTAGTAACCTCTCAGGTGTTTGAAGATCTGTATCGAATGGGATAGCAGTTTCAGTCTAGTGACTGGTGGATTTGTCTCCATGTTACAATAGTAATTATTACCCTTTGTTTACGTCCTTGTTGGCAGTCTCAGCAGAGATATCAAGGACTGAATGAAGAACACTAGTTACCTTTAAAGGTGGTCCTTCCATGTCAATGTTCAGGAATGTTGCTGGGTAGTGTGAAGAAGTTTGGAATGTCACTGGCTGTGTTGTTGTTTCTGTGACTCTGCTTCCAATCTCAATTGAGTACCTTTCCCAAGCCTTGTATTAACTTAAACATTTAAGTCTAAGGTAAATAGTTAGTGGATAAACCCTAGTGGTTACCAGATAGGAAAAAAACAAATTTGTGAGGTGAACAAATGTATTTTCAAGTTTCAAAGAGCTTCTTTTAAAGGACAGGGTTTTTTAAGTGTATGAAGAAGTACTTTGACTATACATTTAGAATTTATAAAGAGCTTTGGTTAGGTAAGGTGAAAAGTTTAAGTCAATCAGTTATCAAAACAGCTGACTTCCTGTCTGTTCTCAGACAATGTGATTCCTTTGCTAGCTTGAAAATAGTATGTCCTTGAGTCACATCTTGTCTTAGATTAGTGTCTTTTTTTAAATACATTTTAGTACTTAAAGGCTTGTGTATTTTTAGTTTGGAGCAAACATTTCACAAAATGTTAGACTTCTGCTGAAGTGTGTACTGTTAGTTTGAGAACCAAATACTACACACCTGCATGTTAATCTTTGTTCATTAATTTACTTAGTCTGAATAAATATCCTTTCAGCTGGTTTTATATCCAAACACAGCATCTAATCACAAGACATAACTAAACAGCCACACTTTATATGAAAATATTAGCTAACATAAGGCTTTTATAAGGATACATATCTGATTTTCCTGAAAATCTAATTCTCCTAATTAGGACTTTTGAGCAGTATTGAAGCTCATTTTTAGTATTATCAAATAATAGCAATGCAACTGTGTCACTAAAACTGTGGATCAATCTGTGTTTCATTATAAATCCTTGCTTTTGTGATTTTATAACTTGACCATAAAAATGTGCATTGGGCTGAAGCTTGGCGCACACAATCTGAATCCTGGAACGATTAACACTGTCAACACTTAAAACTGGATTGTGACTGTCCAATCTTTCTTGAATAAGAGGCATCATGTTGCTTCACTTACCCTGAAGCAGGCCAGGAGATAGATTGTGGGACTAAACTGCATAAGGTTTGTTTGGTGCAGAATATGTGGCCTCATGCATGCAGCAACACCACTTATTGAAGGGGGAGGAGACAAAGCTCTACCTACTCCTGGCCCCTCCTGCCCACTGGGTGTGGAGGGGATGTATTTATTCTGTGGAGACTGCTTCCTCTCCTGCATTGCTACTTGTGATGGAGATAGCCAGCATAAGGGAGTAAGGTGTCACCTTATACTACTTGTGTGCTGCCATACTAGCCAGGCCATAATTTGCCCCCTTAACTAGAAAGAAGAAGAAAATCAAAGAAACATAGGGCTGGAAGGAACCTTGAGAGATCATGTAGCCTAGCCCCTTGTGCTGAGGCAGAACCAAGTATATTTTGACCATCCCTAACCAGTGCTTGTCTAACCTGTTCTTAAAAACCTCCTGTTTTGGGGATTCCACGACCTCCCTTGAAAGCTTATTTCAGTGCTTAATTATCCTTAGAGTTAGAAAGTCTTTCCTGATATCTAACATACATGTCTCTTGCTGAAGATTAAGCTGATTACTTCTTGCCTTATCTTCAGTGAACATGGAGAACAATTGATCAGCATCCTCTTTATAACAGCCTTTAACTTAACTGAAGACTGGTCCCCCGAGTCTTCTTGCCTCAAGACCAAACATGCCCAGTTTTTTTAACCTTTCCTCAAAAGTCAGATTTTTCTGAACCTTTTATCATCTTTGTTGACCTCCTCTGGACTTTCTCCAATTTATTTGCAAAACAGTCCCATTATTAAAATCTATGAAACAAAAATTGAAAAGCTAAGTTCTTCACTTGGGTGCATGAGTGCAACTCCCACTGATTTCTATGGGAGTTGTGCAAGGATGTCAGAAAGTGACATTTGGCACTAATATTTTCTACTTGTAACTGGCTTTGATAGATAGCATATTTCAAGAAAAGTTTCTAGAGCAGAAATGCACATGCTTATTAATACATGATAGAGTTAGGAAATAATTATTATAGTTTCTCTTGTGCAAAATCCATTTTATTATGAAGACCTAAATACCGATTTAGTTGGCAGTCTAGAACAGCTAGAGGATTTGGTGAACAGTTTGCTTTGGCAAAATTTTCATATGCAATATTTTACCAATCAGCTCCCCAGGCATTAACAGATCTGTGAAATGTCTACACATCACTGATTATTCTAAGGACAGCATTTTAGCTGTAACTGTGAACCATCTTTCTTTCTGGAGCTTAGACAAAATCCTTTAACATTATTTGGCCAAGATTTTTCTTTATGAATATACACAAATATTAATAAAAGCCAAGAATCAGTGTTTTACAAAAGGTGAACCTATGGCATGTAGACTAAAATATGAGCTTGGACGTATAACTGTAAACAACTGAGCTACCTGCTTTTTAGCAAATGACACTCTCTCAAAATATAGATTATATTAAGACACTATATTTTCCATGAAAGATACACCAATTCTGTTAGGTGATAAAACAACAATGATTATATATTAAATTCTCTTCCTGCCAGAAATGTTAAATCAAGTTCTCAAACCTTTCCCTGTTTTCTTTAGTATTTCTGACAGAAGGAAATATATTATTATAGGAATTGCACTGCCAAAGTTTTCTTTGGGTGAGGAAAAATATTTGTTTTCTTTGCTAAATCTTATTTGGAGACCAATCCCAACTGCTCAAGTTTATTGGGAGCCTAATTTGGTGCTGGATTATGTTAAGCACCTCACTGAATCACACCCTGGGGCCCAATCCTTCAAACACACACGCACCCTACGTGCACGCACACACACATATAACTTTACTCACATGAGGAGTCCCATTGACTTCAATGGGAATGCTCATGTGAGCAAAGTTTATAAGCATAAGTCTTTACAGGATTAAGGTCTTAAATTATAAACTCTTCAGGATAGGATCATTTCTTCCTGTGCACCTTGCACAGCAACCCGCATACTGATGTTTAACAAAATGTTAAGAAAAGGGAAATCAAATTGAACAGCTTGACAGCAAAACTGTAGTGAGCTACTAGCCAGAGGCTT